CCTGGGGCTGTGGCGAGCGGTCCGGCAGATCAGCCAAGGTTCGGCTGCGAAGCGGGAGGAGATTTTGGCCCAGGGCAGTGGGCGGACGGCGGCTCGCAGGGGACACGCTAGAGAATCTTTAGGTGAGCAGGCCTCACCCCCCCAAGAATCTGTCCTTGGAAGGGGGAGCCAATCCAGCTAAGATGGGGGCCTCCAATTGCCAGCACTCGGGGTAAACCTGAGGCTAGACCCAGACAGCACTGAGGCCTCCGGGGGAGACGGACAGGAAGGCTGGGGAGATATCCCACCCTGAGCCAGTGGAAAGAAGCAATCCACACGCCATCTGCCCTGAGCCAGCCCACAGACCGGCCGGACCAGTCCCTCCGTGTGGGCAGAAGCTTTTCGGGTCGCTCCATCTTGCGCAGACCCTAATGGCCTAGTTCGGGAAGCAGCCGAGGACAGTGAGCAGGGCGTCTCGGAAATAAGCCGAGAGGCAGGCGCTGAAATTCCCTAACGCCCAGGCTCGCTCATAACTGTTCACTGGGTTCCCTGTAAGCTGAGCGCTCGGGCGGCCACCAAGGACAGATTCTGACGCCACTCAACTGATTAGCCACTCAGCTGATTAGCGGCGTATCCACAGCCAGTAGCGTGTGTTTCTACTGGTGGTGCACACCTGCACATGCCTCGGTGCGCGTAGCAAAATTTATTCCGCACACACAGGGGAAAACCAGAGAGAGCATTGGACCGGGGCTGCTTGACCCCTGGCTACTGGGGCTACTGTGGAGTCAATTCCTTCCCACTCGCCCAGCGTCCTCTTCTCCCCCGCGGCCCCAGCCTGGCCCTAGGGTGAGGGAGCTGGGACCCAGCCGGAGCTGCATTGCTGGCGGCCGGTGTACAAGGTGAACTTTGGCTGCCGGCTGGAGCCAAACATTACCTCAGCCTCCTGGCCCGGCAGCGGCTCTGCGGCACCAGGGCGGCCCTCTGGCAGGGCCCAGGAGCAAGAGCAGGGAGTGGGGGAAGGCGTGCAAAGAAGCCAGTTCTGCAGCTAACTCAGCTCAGCCACCCTCCCGGCGAGCGAGACCCTGCAGTCCTGGGCCACCATTCTGCACGGGAGCATCCCCTGGGCCGCGGGCTCGGTCCGTGCCGGCAGCATCAACCCACAATCCCGGTCAGAGTCGCTACGGGGGCCTGCTGCCTCTCCCCCGCGGATGCCACAGCAGAGCCCCAGCGCAAACCCGGACTGCAGAGCCATTTCCTGGCAAGAATCGGCCTCCGAGGCAGACGCCCGCCTTGGAACGGGACGCCGGGTTCGAGGAGCTGCAGGCTGCTCGCTCACAGAGGCGCAGGCATGTCTGCTGGGTCCCCTCGGAAGCCAGATGGGGCACCCTATGAGCTCCCACATGGGGCTAGGAAAGGATCTGGGGATCCGGAGACAGAGGGAACTCAGGGCAGGGTCTGCAGGGACAAGCGCTAAGCACAGCCAAGCCCAGGAGCAAGCCACGGTTCCTTTTATTTAAGGGCAGGTCTATGCTGCAGGGACCAGTCGATCTAAGCTACGCAACGTGAGGTATGTCAGCAGCACAACCCAAGTTGATGGAGCTTAGATCTCCTGACTGCAGGGTTCACACCGCGCTGGGTGGATGGGAGAGCAATCGGCGATTGATTTAGCAGGTCTTCACTAGACCCGCTAAATTGATCTCCAGTGGATAGATGCAGTAGTGGAGACAAGCCCTAAATCAATGCTAAAGGCAAATGGCAGGCAGGTGCCCAGGTAACATGGAGAGACGGGAATCAAAGACAGAGGTTGATTCGGTTCAGATCCTGCACGTATTCTCTGCGCAGGGTGGGAAAGTCATCTGCCTGCGTAGCCGTTTTCCATCCCTGTTTAGAGACGGGATAGGTCAGACGACTAATGTCTATTTAAATGCAGTCTCTCCAGTCCCCTTTCGTACTCGCTCTCCCCCAGCCTCCAAGAGAAAGCACGTTTTACTGGCTTGCCGATCAGCAGAAAGCAAAACCGACATTCCCCCGGGAGGGCTTGCGGCGGTTGTGCCCTGCACAGCATTTCAGGACAGGAAGTGACACGTTAGCATCTCTCATCCCCACTGCCAAATCCTTCACCCGCCCACCTTCCTTCCTGCCAGAGCCTGTTCCTTTTCATCCTTCGCTAGTTTACGTTGGCCTGGGAGATCCCGAGGCTGGCAGAAGCCCCAGACGCGCCGATGGAGCACAGTACATGCTGCGGTAGCCAATGGAAATTGCAAGGGGGCACGTAGGAAGGCAGAAGGCAATTCTGGAACCTGGCCAGAACCCCCAGGCTGCCTCCTAAACTGAAATTTCATGCCCCAAGATCCAGATTATAGTCCCGGGACAAGCTGAGCGGGGAGCTCGCTGGCCGCGGCAGACCGACGGAAGGGGAACGGAGGTTTCCGCCGGCCTCGCAGGCGGTTTCCTGCACGTGAAGCCCCTTCGCACACAAAGGGCCAGATCCCGATCTGGGTCACGCCGGTATCACTCCAGAGCAAAGCCCCGTGAGTTCCCACGGCTCTACCACAGCGACCGTGGTTCAGGGCTGGTTTTAACCCTCATGAAGTGAATGTACAACTAAGAGCGGCCAAACTGGGTCAGAGCAAATGTCCATCGCGCCCAGCGTCCTGTCTGCCCACGGTGGCCAATGCCAGGTGCCCCAGAGGGAGGGAACAGAACAGGGAACCATCTAGCAATCCCTCCCGTTACCCATTCCCAGCCTCTGACAAACAGAGGCTAGGGACACCATTCCTGCCCAGCCCGGCTAATAACCATTGCTGGACCTAACCTCCATGAACCTATCTAGTTCTCTCTTGAACTCTGCTAAAGTTCCGGTCTTCACAACATCCTCTGGCAAGGAGTTCCACAGGTTGACGGTGCATTGTGTGAAGACACATTTCCTTTTTTTGTTTTAACCCGGCTACCTGTTCGTTTCATTTGGTGACCCTTAGTTCTGACGCTGGGGCATTCAATTCCCTGGGCGTTTTTAGCCTGGGAGCTGCCGTATTTCCCTCGGAGACTCTGGAGACGGGGAGCGAAGGTTTGTCAACACGACACTGCAAAGTGCAGATTGATCAGCCCTGGGTGAACCCCGCTGACCTCAGAGCAACCCAGCAGGGGAGGGGGAATGCGGCTTCCTCTCCCCCCGCAGGCAACGAGCATCTTGATCGCGGGGCACCACGCTACCAGGCAACGGGTCCCCGGGGCGCTACGGCTGGAGGGGGAGAAACGGACGAACTGGCGGCACGTTCCCACCTCCCGAGGACGCCGGCGCCGGATGTGCCACTCACCTTCCAGCAGCTTCCGCAGCTGCTTCTCCTTCTTGGCGATCTCGTTCAGGAAGAGCTTGGAGTTGAGGTGGCCGATCTTGGGCGGGGGCAGGCTGCCGCCTGTGCAGTTCTGGGTCCTGTCCCGACGGGCAACGAGAGCAAAGACTCAGGAGAGGCGTCGCGCGCCCCCTCCTCCCTCTGCCCCCCCAACCTCGGCTCCCGACTTTTCCCTCCTCAAACCGTCTGCCTGGAGCGCTGGGAACGGCCTCTACAGCAGCCAGGCCCCCAGCCCCAACGCC